CGTTCCCCCCACGGCACCCTCCACCGAGGCTGCAGTCGTGAACACCAAAGAAGCGGAGGTATGTGGGACCGATCCTGAGTCCCCCTCCGTGTTAAGTAGGTTTCCCTCAGTTCCGCTCATGATCTTGCCAGATTCGGAACGATAGGAGAAAGGGAGTTCTAACAATATGTTGGATCCCCAAGCATCGAGAATAAATCCACGTTTTCAAGAAAAGCAAAATTTATTTCAAAGCGTTGAAGACATACTCAAACACGTTCTTTGTTAGAACTGGGGATACACAGTTAGGTCAAGCATAATAAAGGAAATTCAAACAGATACAGATCCAATGAATAGCATTCCCGCTGGCGGGCTAATGAAACGGTTGCGCGGCCAGTCCATGGGAACCAGGCAGAACATCAGACAAAACACAGGTGCAGTACTCATGAGAAAAGCAATAGGCAAGCATTACAGCATCTTCTCCCCCACACAACCTCCAGCAGTTATCTTGTGCATTCCAACGCAGGAGCAGGATGATAGAAAACAAGCCGGGTGCAACAGGGAAAGGATATGTACACAGAGGTCACAGAAAACAGAATGGCAGCTTGCTGACAGTTCTGATGAGAGCTGTTCTTGAAGAAGAGCAGTTTCTGTCAGAGCCCTCTCAGCCCCACCTACCTCACAGGGTGTCTGTTGTGGGGAGGGGAAGGGAAAGGAGTTTGTAAGCCGCTCTGAGACTCCTTCGGGTAGTAAAGGGTGGGGTATAAATCCAATCTCTTCTTCTTCTAGTTGCCACTACGTGGGCTGTCTCTGTATATAAGACAATATAAATGGCTTGAGAAAAAGAAGCAGGCAGCTGCTGATCAATTTTGACAGGTTCTAAAATAACCAGTTGTTTTTTCAGCTGTCTCATTAGATGCCTCACCTGTAGAATACACCGTAGCCATTGAGATACTTTTTGCGGATTCTTCGCTCCAGAATACCATCAAAAGTTACCTGAACAACCTCAGTTTTCCACTCTTGATAAATGCCTCAGATCCAGCCGGAAACATTTCAAGTATTCAAGTTACCACAGGTGAGTAGTCTATGCTCAGTTGCCGTCAACTTGAGGGAAGGGGCTATGGCTCAGTGGTGGAGAATCCGCTTGGTGTGCAGAGGTCCAGTCCCCGGCATCTCCATAAGAACATAAGAGATGCCAATGTTGGACCAGGCCAAAGGCCCATCCAGTCCAACACTTTGTGTCACACAGTGGCCAGAAACACCAGGTGCCATCAGGAGGTCCACCAGTGGGGCCAGGACATTAGAAGCCCTCCCACTGTTGACCCCCCCCCAGCACCAAGATGACAGAGCATCACTTGCCGCAGAGCCCCTATCTATACCTTGTGGCTAATAGCCACTGATGGACCTCTGCTCCATGTGCTTATCTAATTCCCTTTTGAAGCCGTCCATGCTTGTAGCCGCCACCACTTCCTGTGGCCGTGAATTCCAAGTGTTAATCACTCTTTGGGTAAAGAAGTACTTCCTTTTATCCGTTCTAACCCGACCGCTCAGCAATTTCATGGAGTGCCCATGAGTTCTTGTATTGTGAGAAAGGGAGAAAAGTACCTCTTTCTCTACCTGCTCTTTCCCATGCATACTCTTATAAACCTCAATCATGTCACCCCTCAGTCGTCATTTCTCCAAGCTAAAGAGCCCCAAGCGCTTTAACCTTTCCTCATAGGGAAAGTGTTCCAACCCTTTTATCATTCGAGTTGCCCTTTTCTGCACTTTTTCCAAAGCTATAATATCCTTTTTAAGGTGTGGTGACCAGAACTGCACACAGTATTCTAAATGAGGTCGCACCATTGATTTATATAGGGGCATTATGATATTGGCTGATCTGTTTTCAATACCCTTCCTAATAATCCCCAGCATAGCATTGGCCTTCTTTATTGCAGTCACACACTGTCTCGACATTTTCAGTGAGTTATCTACTACAACTCCAAGATCTCTCTCTTGATCAGTCTCTGCCAGTTCAGACCCCATCAATGTGTATTTATATTTAGGATTTTTGGCTCCAATGTGCATCACCTTGCACTTGGCCACATTGAACCCCATTTGCCATGTTGACGCCCACTTGCCCATCCTTGACAGATCCCTTTGGAGTGCCTCACAATCCTCACTGGTTTTCACCACCCTGAACAACTTCGTATCATCTGCAAATTTAGCCACTTCACTGCTTACTCCCCTCTCCAAATCATTAATTATCAAGTCGAATGATAAATAAATTAATGAACAAGTTAAAAAGCAGTGGACCAAGTACTGATCCCTGCGGTACCCCACTGCTTACCACCCTCCACTGAGAAAATTGTCCATTTATATTCACTCTCTGTTTTCTATTAATTAGCCAGTTTTTGATCCATAAAAGGACATGTCCTTCTATCCCTTCTATCCCCTTTTCGTATTCTGCAGAAGTGTTCCCATCTAAACATTTGCCCCACCTAGGTCCTGAAAGCTTTTCCTTTCCCAAGAAAAGGAAGCCTGTTAGAAAAACATGAGTCTCAAGGCTGTGGCTTGTTGTCCTTCAAGGAGCATACCGTTGGCTTTGCTTTCATGTCTCAGGAAGCCCCAACGCCTCCCTGTACAATGTCTCATGCTGTGATCACACCTCAGTGGCGGGGGGGGGGTTAGGGGGGTGAGTAGACTTCCTTCTTGATGCCGCATTACCGAATGACATTACTGAACGCAGAGTTATAGAAAAACATTCTCGGAATGCGATTCCACTTAGAATGGGAGGGAAAGCTTTACCCAAACAGCGCTGGCAAGAGGTGAGAAATGGAGGCATGGGAGAAAGGAATCGACGACGGTTCCGTGGGCTTATTTGTTGGAAACGAAATTGCTCCTTTGAGGTTGTCAAGCCGTGGCTAAGCCTGATTCATGGAAGCATTTATTTTCCGTGCTCCCAGCCCATTCTGGTTTTCCGCGAAGATACTAATGGAATATTAGGTTAGCAAAAGGTTCAAGGCATGCAGCACAGCGGAATTCCTTGGCATGCGTGTGGGTGTCACTGCAGAGAATAAAGTTACACCCACGGCCTTCTATCTCAGCGAACTCATATGAGTCCGAGGTACATTATACCTTGGCATCCTTTATACGCATTCTTTACAATACCCCTCCCACCTTCTGATGAGAGGAGGAAGAGGAGGAGGAGGAAGAGATTGGATTTATACCTAGCCTCTCTCAGTTCCACCTACCTCACAGGGTGTCTGTTGTGCGGAGGGGGAAGGGAGAAGAGTTTGATTCCCCACTCCTCCACTCGCAGCTGCTGGATGACCTTGGGCAAGCCGTAGTTCTGACAAGAGCTGTCCTTGAAAGGGCAGTCCTCGAAAGAGCTCTCTCAGCCCCACCCACCTCACAGGGTGCCTGTTGTGGGGAGGGGGAGGGAAAAGGGGTTGTAAGCTGCTCTGAGACTCCGAGTGAAGGGTGGGGTAGAAGAAGAAGAAGAGAAGAAGAGATTGGATTTATACCCCGCCCTTCAATCGGAGTCTCAGAGCTGCTTACAAACCCCTTTCCCTTCCCCTCCCCACAACAGACACCCTGTGAGGTGGGTGGGGCTGAGAGAACTCTGACACAAACTGCTCTTTTTCAAGGACAGCTGTGCCAGAGCTTGTGACTGACCCAAGGTCACATCAGCAGGTGCAAGTGGAGGAGTGGGGAATCAAACCCGGTTCTCCCAGATTAGAGTCCGCGCACTTAACCACGACACCAAACTGGCCCTATGGGGTATAAATCCCATCTCCTCCTCCTCCTCCTCCTCCTCCTCCTCTTCTTCTTCAGATATAGCAGGAAATCTACCATTCGCCATTCACTCTGGCCACTTCAGACTAATCCCATAGGGTAGGCTCATTCTAGGGTTCCCAACTCTGGGTGGGGAAATCCTGGAGATTCAGTGGTGGAGCCTGGGAAGGGTGGGGGTTGCTAAGAGGAGAGAGCTCAGCTGGATATAATTGCATAAAGTCCACCCAAAGAAGCAGCCTTCTTCTCCAGGTGAACTGATCTCTCCCGTCAGGAGATGAGTCGCAATTCCAGGAGATCTCCAGGCCACACCTGGAGGTTGGCAACACGAGCACATTCGCAGAGAGCATCCCTGCAAGCTTGGAGCATAATTTTTCCCTTTAAAAAAAATTCTTCCTAATTTTATAACTTGCATGACTATGATCCCAAGCGAGAAAATGTTAATGAGAAATCGCTCTTGCTGCAAAGGAAAAAGAAGCATTTAGTATCTTCTCCCTCCCGCTCACTCATCTCAAGAAAAAAGAAGATGGATTAAATCTAACAGAGTTCTCATCACATCTGATACTTATGCATACACAATACTGGCAAACCTTCAAAAGCCTGGGTTTTGTTTGAATCTCGAATGCAGAGTAAATACGTGCCGATCAGCCCAAACCCACACCTAACCTTCATACTTTCTGTTCCATGTCTTTGCGTTAGCGTGCAACTCAACAGGTAGTAACAGCAGTCATTGTTACTGTGAAGATGGTTACTGGTGGCCCAATGACCTATGCCCTAATCCAGCCTACCCCAGTATCACAGCAGCACCAGAAGAGTACCACAACTGTATTGCACAACTGCCTTCTCAAGGAATCTATTGCCAGCTATTGCCTGAAGGTAAGAGAAGGCTCAGACGTGGTGGCTCAGAGGTTAAGACGCTGAGTTGCAGACCGGAAGGTCAGTAGTTCAGCACTTTGAGACCCGAGTGCCACAGGACAGAGTGAGCTCCCGTCTCTGGTCCAAGCTCCTGCCAACCTAGCAGGTTGAAAGCAAGAAATTGCAAGTAGAGAAACAGGTACCGCTTCGGTGGGAAGGTAACTGCGTTCCGGTGCCTCAAGTGATTTCTTAGGTCTGCCTAGGGCCCAGCCATCCCTTCCAAAACGACTCCTCCAGAATATGATACGTTTTTAGGAGCTTGCATGTATTAGTCCTGATCAAACCGGTGTATGAACTTGTATGTTTACCTCAGCAGGTCAAATCTAGAAGGCCCTTTCAGGCTGGGAAAATGGGAGGGGAGAGATTGTCCAAATTGAGAAAATGACTGGGGAATTGGGGAAATTACTGGGTTAGCCCCCCATCCCCACAGTATGATCCCAGCCCAAGTTGAAGTCCTACATGCCAGCTATTTATAAGTGAAAATGCATGGAATGTCTAGCTAGGGCTGCCAGGTGGGGGCGGAGGGCTGGTAAACCCCCGCTTTGGAGGCCTGATTTCTGCCACCGCGGAATCAGGCCCCGGGGGGAACTCCACCCCCGGAAGCGCAGCGTGGCTGCGTCACTGGAGGTGGCACAACCACGTTGACCACGTTGGGGGTGTGGCCCGTATCGTTGGAGGGAAAACTCTATGGTTTTCCCTCCAATGATCCGGGCCACGCCCCCAACGTGGTCGACGTTGCACGTCACTTCCTGTGACGTGCTGGCGGTGCGCATGCGCGCACATCACCGGACGGCTCCCAGAGCCCGGCGAGGCTCCCCTGCCGGTGAGTTTATCGCACTTGGCAACCCTACGTCTAGCGCTGTGGGTGGTTTGGGCCCACAAGCGTAACACACAGTTGCAGTGTTACTGTTTTTCTTCTGATCTGGGGCTATAACTTTCCAGTCTGAGACTATTGCCCGCTTTCCTTCTGAGAAGCGTCATGTGATCTCAGAAGACGGTACAGTGAAAAAATGGCCAGTGGTTGAAAGAATGTTGTTGTAAAATAGTCTTTTATTCAGAATCATTAGCGCTTTCCTCCTCTTCTTCTCTGTCACAGATACCGGAGTAATCCACTTACTAAACATGACTGTCCGACTCGACATACCCTTTCAAAATGATCTCAGGAATCCATCCTCAACGTTGTACAAGCAATACAAAAGAGATTTGGAGCGTGCGGTATGTCTGAAATCTTAAAAATAAATTCCCACCTACTATTGTGTATTTTGGTTTATTTACTCTGTTTGGACCCCACCGTTCTTTCTGACGGTGACTCAAAACAGCTTACGTCATTCTCCTCGCCTCCATTTTATCTTCACAACATCCCATCAAGGTAGGTTAGGCTCAAAGTGTGTGACTAAACCAAGGTCATTCAGCAGGCTTCTATGGCAGAGCGAGATTCCAGTCTAGGTCCCCCCCAGATCTTAGTCTGACGCTCCCTGTCTCTCTGTTTCTAGCTCTTGATGTTAAACATTCATCATAAAAAGTCTTCCTATACTATTTATTTATGTATTTATTGCTTTTGTATCCTGCCCATCCCATAGACAGGTGCGGGGCGGGTTACAACATTTGAATAAATGCAATAAAATTTTAAAAACACATTATAAACATATAAAATCAATAATCACAGCTTGCCGTAGGGAGAAACCGGCCCGTTGATGTAGATAAATATGGCTGGTTATCAGTGGGTGGGAGATAGCAACCTTGCGGGGGGGGGGGGATGTGTGGATGCCCATTGACTCAGCCAAAGGCCTGGCGGAACAGCCCCGTCTCGCAGACCCTGCAGAATTGGATAAGAAAAAGAAGAAGAGGAGAAGAGATTGGGTTTATACCCCGCCCTTCACTTGGAGTCTCAGAGCGGCTTCCAAACTCCTTTCCCTTCCCCTCCCCACAACAGACACCCTGTGAGGTGGGTGGGGCTGAGAGAGCTCTGACAGAAACTGCTCTTTTTCAAGGACAGCTGTGCCAGAGCTTGTGACTGACCCAAGGTCACATCAGCAGGTGCAAGTGGAGGAGTGGGGAATCAAACCCCGTTCTCCCAGATTAGAGTCCACACACTTAACCACTACACCAAACTGGTGAGAATTCCTTTGGAATTAGAAGAAGTGAAGAGATTGGATTTATACCCCGCCCTTCACTTGGAGTCTCAGAGCGGCTTACAAACTCCTTTCCCTTCCCCTCCCCACAACAGACACCCTGTGAGATGGGTGGGGCTGAGAGAACTCTGACAAAAACGGCTCTTTTTCAAGGACAGCTGTGCCAGAGCTTGTGACTGACCCAAGGTCACATCAGCAGGTGCAAGTGGAGGAGTGGGGAATCAAACCTGGTTCTCCCAGATTAGAGTCTGCGCACTTCACCACTACACCAAACTTTCTCCAAGCAGGGCCCTGGTCTCAGTAGGGAGCATGTTCCACCAGGTGGGGGCCAGGGCAGAAAAAGCCCTGGCCCTGGTGGAGGCTAGGCAGACATCTTGGTCAAGGCTAGGATGTCTTGGTCGGGGTTAGGTGTCCTAAGCACCCAAGCGGGAGTATATTGATCAGAGAGCAAGTTTGGTGTAGTAGTTAAGAGTATGGACCATAATCTGGGAGAACCAGGTTTGATTGTCCATTCCTCCACATGCAGCTGCTGGTGTGACCTTGGGTCAGTCACAAGTTCTCTCAGAACTGTTCTCTCAAGAGCAGTTTCTGTCAGAGCTCTCTCAGCCCCACCTACCTCACGGGATGTCTGTTGTGGGGAGGGGAAGGGGAAGAGATTGTAAGTCGCTCTGAGACTCCTGCGGGTAGTGAAGGGCGGGGGATCAATCCAGTCTCTTCTTCTCCTCTTTTATTTCTGAGGGTTTCTCATGAAAATCCTATATACTGAGAGCCAGCGCGGTGTAGTGAAGAGAAGAAGAAGAGATTGGATTTATACCCCGCCCTTCACTACCCGAAGGTGCCTCAGAGCGGCTTACAAACTCTTTTCCCTCCCCCTCCCCACAACAGACACCCTGTGAGGTGGGTGGGGCTGAGAGAGCTCTGACAGAAACTGCTCTTTTTTCCAAGGACAGCTCTTATCAGAACTACGGCTTGCCCAAGGTCATCCAGCACGTACAAGTGAAGAAGTGGGGAATCAAACCTGGTTCTCCCAGATTAGAGTCCGCGCACTTAACCACTACACCAAACTGGCTTCGTGTCGGACTAGGATCTAAGAAACCCAGGTTCAAATCCCCACTTGTGCCATGGAAACTTGCTGGGTGACCTTGGGGCTGTCACACTCTCTCAGCCTAACCTACCTCACAGAGTTGTTGTGAAGATAAAATGGAGGAGAGGAGACGAATGTAAGCCGCTCTAGGTCTCCATTGGGGAGAAAGGCAGGATAGAAGTTAAGTAAAGTAATAAAATTTTAGTGTATGATTAAGATTATTGCGTTATTAAGTGATTCGGTGTACAGTGGGAGACCAGGGTCCTGTTTGGGTACAGCCTACCACTGTGAAAAATCACATGAATGAAGTCCAGGTGTCCGCTGAGATGGTCCCATGGCCGTCATGATGGCCAAGGAGTTTTAAGTCAACCTGACAAAGAGGAATTGGCGAGGATGTTGAAGACACTCCAACACCATTGCTGAGACCAGTTTGATCAGCTCAGGCAGGGAGATGGTTGGGGTGTGGTTTGGAGTTTGCAGATTTGGAAATAGACCTGAAAGGGCCCAAAGGCCATGCTACTGAAGATGTGACTGGGAGAACAATCAGCCTTTGATAATTAGAAGGGGGGGTGGATTTGAGAATTCCAACATATATCCTTTTAATCCAGTTGTAATGGATCATTTCAGAATCAACGTTTTAGGGGGGGGGGGGAACAACAACATCAGAATTCTGCTGGATCAGAACTACTGAAACCAAGTCACTGAGTAATTTGGTTTCCTAAAGAGGAATAAAGTACGCCCTGAATGAAATCCAGGCTATAGTCCTATTTTCTCTGTGGTTTTAATCGTCTCGTCAATGTATTTAAATCATTTATATATTATTCTTTTTCAGTTTACTGTGGGCTACCAAACTTTACCAGGATTCATAAGTGCAAAAGTTACAGGGTTCAGGTAAGGAAAAATGTGTCTTTTTACTTCCTACATTTGAAAAGGTTACAGGAGGGAATGGAATAAAATAGCACTCTCCAGATTATTGAATTCTAAGCATGTATATGGGGAGGCATTGGAGGGAAAGGTCAGCAGAAAACATATGCACAATGTACACACTATTCTAAATAGGGTTTAATGAAGGTATGGTATGTTTACCTGGACAGGTATGTACTTCGGAATATTTGGTTAATACAGCAGAGTTTGCCCAGCCAGAGAAGCATGATATTGTGTGCAGTAAAATATATCTGCCTGAGGGACTGCCTTTCCCCGCATGTTCCCCAGAGAGCACTATGATCAGGGTCCCTAAACCCCCTTTTCCTACCGTGCCCCAGAGGAGCCAAGATGGCCTCAACAACGGCCAGGGCCTTCTCAGTGGTGGCTCCATACTGGTGAAATGAGCTCCCAGAAGACATCAGGGCCCTGCGGGACCTTTTACAGTTTTGCAGGGCCTGTAAGATAGAGCTCTTCCACCAGGGCCTGTAAGACAAGGGCCAGGGCCTGTAAGATGGACTCTTTCGATTAGAGAGCCACACCTAACAACCTAAGGCCCTAGACCCAATACTAACACCATCACAGACAGCCTGTGCACCGCAGATATGACCCAGACTGAAATACCAGCCGACTGTACTCCTCTGTTGATGCTACTAACGCCTCGCCATCAGAGGTCATTTCGGGGGGGATTGTGGGGGATCGCAGTTCCCCCGGGTGAGGTACAGGGGGGTGGGGCACATGACGAAGCCCCGCCCCCTGCTTCCGGCCGCCCCGCTTCCGGCCCTCATTCAGCCAGGAGGAGGCAGGAGAAGAGGGAGGGTAAGTTGCTTCCCCCCTGCCTCTCCCCACCCCTGCCTGCCTGGGGCCAGGGAGGGCCTTCGCAGGGCTTCCT